CGCGGCGGCGTGGCCGCCCCCTCCCCGATCTGCCTCCCCCGGTCCCTTCTCCCCTGCCCGCCCCGCCGGGACGGGGCCGTACCGGCCCCCGGTGCGGGGATGCCCCGGTGCCCGGCGCCGGGTGCTCGGGCCGGGGGGCACGAAGGGCCCGTTTGTCCTTGGATGAACTCCCCCGGTGCCGGGCCGGTAACGGGGGCGGCGGGGAGCGCCGGCCCCCCGCTCTCGCCCAGTCCGTGTCCTCTGTTGCAGGCACAACAGCTGGGAGCCCGAGGAGAACATCCTTGATCCAAGACTCCTCCTGGCTTTCCAAAAGAAGTGAGCAAACTATAAATATTTCTAAGCGAACGATAAAGTCAATTAACTTCTAATTGGCTGCGCGTGCGGTGGAAGTTGTGGAAACAACAGACTGAAGCTCGCCGCGCCTTTTGTGGCACAGCCCTTTTGTTCATCTCCTGAAATCACAGTTCAGGTCCACCTAGGACGTCTCTCCCCGGGCTGGGTAAACACGAAGAATTTATGGCCCTGCGCACAATCTGGTTTTGCGCCGGCTGTACAATGGGAGCGCGGCAGCACCCAGCAGAGACCTTTGGCTCTCGATCCCCGTCCAGCGGTCAGGGCCTCGGCTGTGCTTGGGGGGCGACCGCAGGCCCCGGTGGGGAGACGGCACCTGGGACTGCAGAAGCGGTGGGCTTGGAAAGCACCAAAATGTACTGCTGGAGGGCACAGCTACGAGAGGGCGAGGAAGTAACGGGTGGGAGAAAATGGTGTCCTCTGTCAGGGCCGGGGCTACTGCCCAGAGCCGAGCTGGGAGCAGTAATTGTTCTGCAGCTATTGCACACCAGGAATCACACACAGAGGTAAAAAAGTAGCCAGCTGGCTACAGTAAGCACAGCGCTGCCAAATATTTTGGCTCCGTATTAATAAAAATCATTAAAGTTTATGTTAGGATTTAATTATAACTCGTTTCTGGATCCATTTTTTCAAGAATGGAATCTGGTGGTTAGTGCAGACAGCATGGTGTTTAATTAGCTATATGTATTACAGCTTAACACTGTCCCTTTTAAACGGAGAGCTACGAAAGAGTATACATTCCCCATACGAACACCTTGGGCTTTGCGTGTCTGCCAGCCTGGGCCACCGCATCCAGACCAGGCGCTGCAGGAGAGGTGAAACGAGCCCAGTGAAAGGAGAGAACTTGCCGAGTTTCCAGGGAATGCATTTGCTTTTCCTCCGCAGGGAGGCTGTACTGCTGCTCACTGTGAGCAGAGGGGAAGCTCAGCTCTGCAAGTGTGTAACTAAGGCAAGGCTTAGCAGAAACGGGGCAGATGCTTCTGTTTGCCTGATCCCGTTGTACCAGAAAACCTGCAAATTTTACCATGAATTGGAAGAGCCATTGATTCAGGATGGGTAACGCCATGTGGTCCATTGCTGGCTGCTGGGGTAACCAGTGGGAAGGTCCTGCATGGCAAAGGATTTTGGCTCTGTGAGCAGTCTGGTAAATATATTTCAGCCATCCGTGCAGTTCAATCCCATGCTGTATGCAAGAGAGTTTCTCTTTCCTTTCACCTTTCCTCCAGTAAATCAGGGCAGATACCTGCTGCTGAGCCAGCTGGGTACCCTGACGTCCAGATAGCTGTCCTTAGAACAAGGCCACAACTCTTATAACCCTTTCCTCACTTTGTAGTTCTTTTTCTTGCATTGCATCGCATTCATGGCCCAAGTCTTCCAGCGACCTGTGCCGGTCCCGCAGGGTAAACGGTCCGGGTGTCCTGTGGGAGAGGTTGAACTGCACAAGTCCCCAGGCTTCCGAACAGTTCTTGGGGCTCTTTGACTGCATGTGACTGTGCTGTGCCCATAACAGTATGGGTTCAAGTAAACGATGTGCTTGGAGCCTGTAAGATCGTCCCATGTTGGTAGGGGTTAAGGACACCTCCCAGCCGCTGCTCAGGCACTGGGATGGGAGCTGAGCCTACGGCATCCCAAGCAAGGAATTTTTTTTTAATGACAGAAGAAAGGGAGAAACCAGAGTGATTTTGGATTTTTTTTTCTTCCCTGCAAACATTGTCCTTAATCGTTGTTTTTTCAGGGAACACGAAAAAGAAGTGCAGAATCGCAAGAGGGGCAAGCGGCCCAGGGGCAGGCCCAGGAAACACGTGGTGAGTGCTGGTGGTGGTGGAAATCCACAGCCATGACGGCGCTGGAGGGGCTCTGGCCTTGGAAGGCACCAGCGAGTGTCTGTCCACAGCGCAGGGTGCAGTGGATGCTCAGCCTCTGGAGGGTGGTGAGGACACGGCGATGCCTGCAGACCCCGGGCTTGGGGCTCTGAAGATTGCAGTGATGGGTGGGTGGATAAGGATGCCTGCGAGGAGGACGTCTCTTCATCGCTGCTCTGGCGATGGTGTAGAAGGAGGCAGAAGAGTTCTCTGGCTCCAGGGTCCCGCCTGGTATTTAAGCCTGGTCGGTTTTGTACTGTACGCTCCCTAACTCATTTCATGGCAGAGGACGAGCAGATCAGCTAACACCAGGAAAGAACCTGTGTGTGTCTGAGGCACCTGGCCAGGCAACACCGAAGGATTTGCAATGCCCGTAATGGTTCTTTGGTAGCTTGTGTGAACTTTCCCTGTCTCTCCATTGCTTTGCAGGAACCAGAGATGCCTGCAAAAACTAAGTCAAGTAGCTCCTCTTCCTCCACATCCTCCTCTTCTTCCTCCTCGGATGAAGAGGATGAAAGTGACCTGGAAGCAAAGAGAGGTCCCCGCAGCAGAGAGACTCACCCAGTACCGCAGAAGAAAGCTCAGATCCTGGTGGCGAAGCCCGAAATGAAAGACACTTCCAGGAAGAAGCGTGGGCGGAAACCTCTTCCCCCAGAGCAGAAAGCAGCTCGAAGGACCGTGAACCTGACAAAGGTGCTGAAAACGTCCCGGAAGGAGGTGGGTGGCAGCGGCAAGCTGATGGGGAAGCTGCAGCCCCAGCAGGGCTCACAGGGCTCGGGCATGGCCGTGCTGAAGGACCCGGCGGGTGCCTTGGCCGGGCTCAGCTCGGGGGGTTCGTCTGCAGAAAACCTGCCCAACATGATGAAGAGCGGCTCGGCGAGCCCAAACCGGGCCATCAGCTGGCAGAGCTCCATCGTGCACTACATGAACAGGATGTCCCAAAGCCAGAACTCGGCAGAGACCTCGCCCCTGGGCAGGCTGGCACTGAAGTCCCAGGCATCCAGTAAGAGCGGCTTAGGGCTGGACTTAAAAATGAGGAGCCAGAAAGGATCTGGGGAGCTTGGGCTGAGCATGCAAGGACCCAAGACTGCTAAGGCTCCTAGCAGCGGCGCTGGAAGCGACCAGAAATCAGGGTTTGCTGCAGGAGGCCAAATGCTGCACAACGGCAGCAAGACACCTGTGAGCTCGTCCGGGGCCAGCAGCCAGCCGACCTCCAGTCAGGAGCTGAACCTCCAAGCTCTAAACCTGCAGAGTGTCAAAAACGGGCCAAGCGTGGCCGGCGGGAGCAGCCTCCCTCGCCACCTTTGCAGCACCCTGTCCAAAGGCTCCGGCACGGCGGGGAGTGCGGGTGCCGGCGGTGCGAAGGGCAGCACGGCGGGTGCCGGGTTGAATGCTGCCAGCACCAGTGTGCTCTCGGGGGGGGACGGCGGCAAGAGCGAGAAGCAGGCACACCGGGCAGGTGACAGGGACTTGGCCAAAAGCGGCACAGCCGGCACGCAGGAGGGGCACGCGTCTGCGGAGAACCGCAAGCCGGCCGCCCTTTCCGAAATGAGCACAGGCGAAGAGACCAGCTCAGATTCGGACCGGGATTCGGCTTCCTTCCCAGGCGTGGGTCAGAACATGTCTGTCTCCATCCAGACCAGCCAGGACTGGAAACCCACCCGCAGCCTGATCGAGCACGTCTTTGTCACCGACGTCACCGCTAACCTGATCACAGTGACAGTCAAGGAGTCCCCCACCAGCGTCGGGTTTTTCAACCTACGGCAATACTGAGCCCGGGAGCATGAGAGGAGGGAGAGGGTCCCTCAGCCTCCCCCTCAGCTTTGCCCAGCTCTTCCGTCAGGTTTTTCTTTCTTCAAGTGAACGCGTGAGACCTGCTGGGACTCGTGTCTAGAGAGGCTTGAGAAAGACGCAGTGAAACCTGCTCAGAACTGCCAGCGGGTCGATGGATCCCTCCTGGCTTCTCTCCATCCTCTCCCGGAGCAGTGCCCTGAGCGGAGGTGGCTGATGCCATTCTCCGGGAGCAGGGCCACTGGTGCTGCCGGGGCTGACAGGCTGGCAAGTTTTGAGCCAGGCTTCACTGTACGCGGGTTTCTTTGCTTTACAGCTTGAAACAGCAGATGACAAGGTCTGCAGCTCTCTGGCAGCAGGGAGAGGGTGTGGAGCTGCGATGGGCCAGGCTTATACTCGGGAGAGGAAAAGGAGATCCTTTTCTTTCCTCTGGGCTCTCCTTAATCTGTCTGTGAGTCGTGGGGAGTCGCAAGTCAATCCAAATGAGACAGCCGCTGCTCCCAGCCCTCGGGGGCTGCTGGGTGGCGGCTGTATACGGGGGTTTTTCAGGGTACATTCAGCCCAGCCACCCCCCTGGGCAAGGTCACTTCCAATGATGGTGAAGCCCACGACGTTTCTGTTGGGGTTTCCAGCTGATAGGGAAATATTGTTTACATATTTTATTAAGGAAAATTCCTTTTTTTTTTTTGAGGGAGGGGAATAAACCCAGTCTAGGGAAGACTGAATCCTGGATGCCACTGATGAGACGGGCGTCAAAGGTGCCTCTTTCAGAGCAAGGGGTGGCTGGCAGTGGGTACCTCCTTGCTGCCCGGGGAGGGTCCTGCCTTGGGAGCCAGTGAGAGCCACTGGCTTCTTCGTAGTGACTTGATTTTCAGAGGAAAGCAAAGCCCAGATTGTTGTGCAGCACAGGGAGCCCCAGCGCCGCTCCTCTGCCTCATCCCAGCATCGCCAGCGTCTCCCCCTCCCATTCAGCAGTTTCCAGGCACTCATAGGGACCGAGCTGGGAATATTTTTTAAGACTTGCAGAACACGTGAACCCTTCCAGCGGCAGGTAGGTTGGTACTCGGACTGCCAGGTGTCTGCGAGGTCGGTGCTGCAGTTCAGAGCCGGGGGTGAGTGAGCTCTCCCTGCTGGGACCCCAGCCGGACCCAGCCTTGGATGCTCACTGGGTTTGACTCACACTGATCATCCACGTTTTTCTCCAGCCGGAGGGCTCAGAAGCTGGTCGAGGACACCTGCATGGGTGATCTGGAGCGGTGCGAAAGGGAAGGAGAGGAGAAGGGGCAGGGCCGGGCAGTGCCAGCGGGTTCCTCAGGCCACTGTTCCCCAAGGAGCCGGAGGGCTTGTGGCAGCCGTTTGCCTTCATCTTGCCATCCTGTGCCAGCAGTCGGGGTGTTCATTTTGGCTTGTAATTGCAACCAGTAATGGCTTTTTTACGGAGGTCTTTTTCCCTACTGTAGATTACTCTTACAAACCAAAATTAGCAGCAGTAGTTCAGGCAGAGTTTAGTAGCATTTGAGGTCATTTTAGTTCTGTTAATGCTGAACTCCTTTCTCAGAGGAGATAAGAAGCCTGCAGTCTGCCCGGTCTCGGTGCGTGGTTAGGAGGTGCCTCCGAAGGGCTGTCCCGCCAGCATCTCCAGGGTGGCTGCTCAGTGCGTGCGTGAACAGGCACCGCTTTGGGGCTGACCGCTTGCTGGGTGACTGACCTGGCACCGGGACAGGCATCTTACTTTGCCACAGGCAGGGACACTTGCTGTGTCATCACACACAGGAGTGCGGAGATAAATGGACCAAACTGGAGGTACAGGTACTTCTGACACACCCCCCCGACGCATCAGCTCACAGTGATCGCGTTTGCTGCTGCTGGCTGGCAGCAGTGCAATTCTCAGGTGAAATGAAAAGCCAGCGCTGGTTGCACGTCCTGCCCGGTTGTTCAAGGGATGGATGGCTGTTCCCCGTACGGCGGCTGCAGCGTCTGCCAGGGCAGGCTCCTGTGCTCCAGAGATGCTCTCCTTTAGCTTTTATATTTAATCACCAGCCGTCCTGTTGGTCGTGGCTTTGAGTTTGTTGTGTTACAGAGCTGAGCGTGGCGTCCTGCGTGAGCCGACAACGTGCCGGCGAGCCGGGGCAGATAGAGGCGTATAGTTGCCTTGCAGCAGGACCTGCGCAGGCTTCTCGGCCAGCTCCAGCTCTAGCCCCAGTGCAGCCAGGCAGCCTTGAATGTCACCTGGCCACAGCGTTGGGCAACCTGGGGCAGGTGGTTTGCAGAGGACTGGTGCAGCCCTGGTCTGCTGCTGGCCGCCCGGCCCAGCAATGTGCTGCGTGTTGATCTGCCAGGCAAAGGGCCGAGGGAGGAGGAGGGAGCCTTGTCCATGGAGGATGTTCCCAAGGACAGAGTTTCCGTCGAGCTCCACGATGCCAAAATGTCACAGTCTGTGCTGTTTACCTTCTAGACTTTAACTTTGCCAAACGAGCTACCGTTGCTTTGAACAGTCCAAGGAAACGTTAGCCTGTGTCAGCAGAAACAAATGCTCCAGGCACGGTCTCTGCTGGGTGTGCTTTTGTGCTGGGGATACGAGCATTTTGGGAGAAGAATCAAGGAATCTGGTAGCGTGAGGGTAATGCTCTTCCTCACACACCAAATGTTTGCTACTTGGCCTTTGCAAATCCAAACTGAATGACAATGTGCCTTTCGGACCGTCCTTATCTCAGCCTTGTCTGCGACACCGGTCCCACGACAGGTTTGTGCCTATGCAAAGCAGGGTGGTCACAGGGTCCTGGGGACAGCCGTGACACCAATGGGGAGAGGTGCCCTGGTCCCCAGCGGGACACCCAGCCATCACACAGAGCCCTGCCGCAGCGCTGAAGGCAGATGAGGGATTCCCGCCGAGGGGAAGCCGGCCCAGCAGGGATGCTCTTGCCTAGAGCAGTAGAATGTGGCGCCTGGTGTCCCCGAGGGGGGAAAAAAGCATCTGAGGATGCTCCAAGAAGGGGTCGGGCACCGAGCATCCACAGAGGGTGCAGGAGACGAGCTGCGACAGTGGGTGCTGGGCTCGCTGCACGCCGGCTCCAAGACGGCTGCTCCCCCCAGAGCCCCCATCGAAGCTCCCATGCGTTTCTCTGTGCCGGGGCTTGCTCCTGCCTCTCGGCTGGGCGAAGGGTCACCAGGCCCAGGCTTGTACCCGGGGGAACGCATATCCCGACAGCGAGCGGCTTTCCTCCATCACCCACCCTTCCCAGGCGTGTCCCCTCCCGGTAGCAGCAGGACTCTGCTGTCACCACTTGCTATTGTGCCTTTTGCTCACCAGCTGGTTCAATTCCAAAGGTCTAAGGATGGTGAAAATGATAATCCAGAATTTTTTCTGACCTTCATCTCCTCCTGCGTTCCTTCCCCAGCCCCTTCCTGACCTCATGTTTCAGGATCTCGGCTCTCCCAGCAGTGCTGGGGTGTCTGAGCGAAGGGTTCCTGTTGGAGTTTGCCTCTGAAAGGCACATTATGTGAGTGATTTACTGTAATCTTTTGTGGACAGGGGTTGAAAGCTGGTGCAGACCCTGTTTACCAGTTGGTACCATTAGTATTCAAGGTCTACCTTTTTTTTTTCCCCCCTTTTTTTTTTTTAAAGTTTGCTGCTATGGGTTGGAGTGTTCAGCTGGGTGTCAAACAGCCAATTAAAGGTTTGTCACTTGTCATTTTCTAAGGGGTTTCCGATGTGGAAAGTCCTGCAGTATTTGTGTATTGAATGGATATTTTCTCCAGGCATAATCTGGTTAAGCATACTTGTTGTTTTCCATTGGACTGGAAGAGGTGGCCAATTCAGCCATCTTCCCTAGAAACTTAGTCTATTTTTATATATATATTTTGTACCAAAAAAACTGGAGCTGGTGGAGGGATGGGGATAGTTTAGGGGGTTTGGTTTGCGTTGAGTTTATGAGCTGGGCGTGAAGGGCTCCAGAGCTGGAGAGGAGGTTTTTACTGAAAGAGATTGAGGGATGGGTGAAAACAAACAATTGTTCTTGTAACTTGTGCCAGTCACTGGTCTGATTTGTATGTTTTAATTAAAGAGAGAGCCAAATCATTCCTGTATGACACTTATAATTGCTTTAAACTACAGCTGTTTGTTTGCTTTTATTTTCAGAGAACAAAAGTTAGAGATGTTATTACCCTGGGAAAGCGTAAGGGCTTTGTCGAGCAGGACAGGCGCCCAGCCCGCCGAGCGACGCGGGGCTGCGGGGCCATGGTCACCGCTCCCCCCGGGGCCTCCGGTCGCCCTCCCGGCACCTCGCTTGCCTTTTGTGCGGTGTGTTTTCTAGTGCTTCTGGACGCTAACGCTAGTGTAGACCCACGACCTCTAGGCTGCTTTTAATTTATTTGCAGGAAAACACTAGGATAATGGTTACGTCGGGCGGGTTTTTTTTTTTGTATAACTTTTCCACTGCTCCTTTTTAGCATATCAATAAATATTTTTTTAAACTTTTCAGCCTGCTGTGGTCACTGCTCCGGGAGGGCCACCCCCCCCACCCTCCCCGGGTACCGCCTGCCCCCCG